CGTGTAGCTTTGCGCGAAATTCAAAACAAACAAACATTTTCAATGAAAGATATCATACACAGAAATAACTTAAGAAAATCAATTTCAAACTGAATATAAATTTATATAGATATATCAGCACAACCCACACGTATATACAGAAACATGAGAAGCTATCTACATTTGTATCATTCTTAAAACAAAAAAAAAAAATAATATATATAAAGCATTTCAGCCTATATCTATCAGTTCAGCTCGGTGTTAGATTCCACGTGGTGAATACAGCACAGATAATTCGTTGTGTAAGCTCGGTGTTAGATTCCACGTGGTGAATACAGCACAGATAATTCGGTGTGTAAGCTCGGTGTTAGATTCCACGTGGTGAATGCAGCACAGATAATTCGTTGTGTAGTTTGCGCTAAAACAAATACATGATAATCTTAAAAACATCTATTCTGGATAGAAACAGATTAAAATTGAAAAAAAAGAGCAGGAAAAGAAAAATAACTACAGTATGTAAAGTATAGATATTTAAATTTATAAAATCATTGCAAGTTTTATTTTAAAACAAAAATACAAGATTGAAATAGTGTACAAAACCGATATATTTGAGATATTCTTGTTAATCTAAAGATGTAGATTTAGTTTCTACTTCACGTTGATAAGACATTGTCAAAATGAACCAAAACATCTGTTAAAGCGGAATGTGATTTAAGAGCAGGTGACTGCCATTTCTACTTAGAGCATTAGTAAGAGAAATGAACTTTAAAGATAAATCTATTATATTGTGTCTAAAAATAGTTCATTAAAGATTGGTTGTACGATTAAAATCCAGACCGCACTTCACAGAACTTTTAACTACATTTAATACCTCATGATAATTAATAACTCATATTTAATGAGCAGCAGGTAGTACTTATAACCTTGCAATAACCTACGTTTTATCTTCACCAAATGATGTCTACAACCAGATCCATTCAGCTGATTGTCTACAATGGTTTTAAATAGGCAATGCCAAGCTTTTTTTACTTTACTCTACATTTTCTGTTTAGGTTGATTTCCATAGACCTCAGATGTTTATTACACATGGAGACGTTTGAGATCTAGTGATGCCCCATTATCACAATGGGGGCTGTATAGCACCTGCCCCTCCCCCATAATTATCTCTCCTGAGATGTTTTTTAGGAAATCATCTAATATTTGGTTGGTGTCTGTGGAATCGTAATGGAGCTGGAATATTCCAGCTGAAGAGAGCATTGTCTCGATGATGGAATATACAGTTTTTATGCTACAAGATCCTAGTTAATGATTTTGATTGCAGCTCTGTTGGTGCTTTGTGATGCTGTTGAGGATTGTGAAGTGTAATAAGGCCTTGATGAGGGTGGCTGAAGTACATCCAGTGACCAGTCTTAAACAGATATTTGTGTCTTTTCAATGTTATCTAGACGTGTAACACTCATACTGATTATTGGTAGTGCACAGTTCAGGATGGAGTGGATAAGAATGGTACATCATAAGCAGGCGGAGTTCTTCAGTTTAATTTCCTGCTGCAACTTTCAGTACATTGATGTAACTGGTAGCTCCTGGTGAAGTTGAGTTGTTTATTCTGCAAAGGATGGTGATGCTTTTTCCTCATCATCATATCTGTTGTTTGGTGTGCAGAACATGATTGTGGCTTTGGCAGGATAGATTATCATTCCTATGTCATTGTAGCATTTTCTTACCCTGCTAAAGGATTATTGCCTCCTGATTTCGATTTCAGCTTTGCCAGGGCTTCTGTTGTGTACCAGAATGTCATCAGCAAAGGTTAAAACACGGCATCTGGTTGGACTGTAAAGACAGGCTAGAATCGTGGTGTAGATGTTGAAGAGGACTGGCGATAGTGGGTACCCTTGAGGCAAACCAGTAATAGTGGTGATCCAGTCTGATTGCCAGCTTCTATGCTTCATGATGCATCTTCTGGTAGTTGATGCAGCTATGACCCATTTCACATAAGTTACACTGAAGGCCTATTATGAGTATTTTATTCACAAGAATGGGCAGATTGATACTACTGCATGTGTCTTCCAGATCTAAAGCTTCTGCCAAGGTGTTTTGACCAACTTTAAACCCTTTCCGTGTATCAGCTGTGAATTCAACAGCGTTGACCCAGATTTCTCTTTCACCGCAATAATCGCCAAGTGATAAAGGTAACAGTAGTTCAACCTGATAGGCAAGCCTTATAACCTTAGCCTTCTCTTGGATCTTGCCAGTGGAGCAGGAATAAGTTTCTGGACTTACAGTGCCAAAATTCGGGGTTCGATTCTCCGCTGTAATAACTTAACCCTCTCTCTTGCACATTACCATGGTCACATTGGTTAATGTATCTGCGAATGAAAACTTGCCTTGGTCTTCATTTGTACCTAGTAGGATACTGTCATTATTGTTAATTACTAATATTGCCATATTTTTAGTTACTGTGTCAATCATGAGTTTGTGGAAACGCCAGAAGGAAGATTTTGTGAAATTGGTCATTCCGTTCAATGTCTCATGCTTTGGATGCTGATCGCCTGTAGAGAGCACATGCTCTATTCCGTGCAATCCTTAGCTCTTCTGCAAGGGCTTAGTACTTTTTTACGTAACCACGTTTCTAAATATTTAATAAACCTACATTTTATATCTACTAAATAATGCCTACAATCGCCAAATGTTACCTTTAATCAATACAGTTTGTAATAACAGCTATGTAATGAACCACGTTTTGTGTCTACCAAAACTTAGCCCCCCCCCCCCAGTGGCACAGTGGTATGTCTGCAAAATCCGGGTTTCGATACCCGTGGTGGGCAGAGCACAGATAGCCCTTTGTGTAGCTTTGTACTTAACTACAAACAAAACAAAACAAACAAACCAAAACTTAATAATGTCTAGTCTATCAGATAATTTAATAAAACATGTTTTAACCCACGTTTTACCACCACTGAATAAATATATATATTATTTCCGTATTCAATCACTTTGTCTGAAAAAGCCCCCCACAGGTTCAGCGGCAAGTCTGAGAGCTCATAACACTAAAACTTGGGTTTCGTTACTTGTGATGAGCAGAGCGTAAATAGACTAATATGACTTTACGCTTAACAACAAAAAACATACATATCTGAAAAGAATATCTTTCTTCTTTAAACACTTCAAGGTCAAATTGGGCACTAATAGGCTTAAGGGCTACCTGTCTTATTACACTGACTATAATATTGTAATAACGGTGTTTAAGAAATGCTTTAATTTGCTAGACTCACTTTTGATACTACAAGTATTTATTGTCACGAACTAAAACCACATTTATTGATCTTATCAGTGAATTATATATTATTTCTTACTGTCTGGACAGACAGCATTTCGGAAGATCTACAAAAATGGTCAACTTTAGTGTGGGTGGTTAACAAGATGTATATGTATACCAATCATACATTCATTAGTCATGTGACAAGATGTATTTGTAAGATGTCGTGACTCCACTTTTTACTGGTTTTGAAATTAATGTGTGTAGTTGTTTTCAAATATATAAAAACTCAAATGACAAAGTTTAGTTGTTGAACCACATTTTCCATTTCTTCAATATGGCACGGTTATGAATTACGTCAGTGACGTAATACGTGTGTGACATATCGACGTTTAATTTATTCATACTACTTCCTTTTTTACTCCTTTTTTATTTGGTATCCAGACAAAGAATTTACAATTGGTACACACAAACGACTGCCCTTATTATAGTATTTTGTCACTTAAAAACATTTTATTTAGGCCTATCTATGGCCTTCAAAAAGTTGACGACTCTACAT